AAATCAAGAGCTGGTAGCTCTGATATTTAGACCTATTGATCAGGCTTAATTAGCTTTTTATCGCATCACATACTTGGACAGATAGCAGTTTTTCCCGGCTGAGTCTTTTTTTGTGTTTTTTTTGCTGTGGATGCACATTTTCACAAGCCTTTCTCTAACGAACCCCTAAACCGACAGCAGGTCACAGGAGCGCCGCCAAATCTCTCTCAAACTCGTCTGTTTCCGAGACAAAAGATACTCATTTCCATTTTCTACTGCTCTTCATGTGAGCTAACGACTGAATAATGAGATGAGGTTTCCTTTTTTTATCGCATGAGCTGAAATCCTAGTTGGCTCATTTCGCAGGAAGGTTTTCAGGGTTGCAAACGTGTTAATGTTTCCTCCCACAGCTGAGCAGATTTAATCAGTGCTTCCCATCGTAGAGGCGGGTGCATAACCAGCACTGTTGATGAAAAGCGTCCGGCGGCGTGTGTAACCGCCCAAAGCAATGGAGGGGGAATAAAATGCGTCAGTTAAAGATAACAGGTAGTTCTTCTGACTTGCTTGTTTGAAAGTCGCTGTTCATCCCTCTCTGGCCGTCAGGGGTCGCCGCAACACGCCAGCCTCAGGGACAGAAATCCACACCTGGCCAGGGTTACGGAGACGCCTCGACCCCACGACGACGTCTTTAAATGCCCTCTGAAAATCTAAAGCCTAAATGCGTGCGCACACAGCCAGTAAGCTTGTGTTTTTCACTCTCTGACAGATGCACGCTTTTGACTGCTGCTGCTCCCACTATGTGCCATGAAAGATGTTCCACAGCCCACAAACAGAGGTGCGCCCCCCCAGATCCACACCTACAGGCCTATTGTGCGCCCAGTCCTGGCTTTTGTTTTCTGACCCATTCCTGGACTCCTCTCCCGGGTGTCACAGTTGTTTGTATTCGTCGTTAGGTAGTCATAGGCAGAGAGGCTTTACTCCCACCAGATGCCCTGATGTTTCCAGCAGCCTGGTTTAAACGAATCCCCTGAATAAAAGGAGAGGGCTATAGGCATTTGAGCCCCGTGAGGCTTTAATTCTCTGTGGGCTCCAGAAAACTGGCCGAAAAACTGAGAGGCAAAGCTTCCATTAAAACTTTTCTGTTGGCAGGAAAAGTAATGCACATTTTTACTGCAGAGTGAATCCACAGGTCAGGTCAGTCTAACGCACAGCTTCACGTCCAAGGCTTCTTTTCTATGGATGAAGGCAGCAGCGTTGACAGGGCAGCAGTTTGCTCGACCCTGGAAACACCTCCGTTTCATTTTCCACAGGAAAAACCATTTTCTTCTGACTCTGGATATTTTCAGCCGGATCCACTTAGTTAATGACAGGCAAACCAGACAAAGCTGCAGTTTTTCTTATCGACCAATGTTTCCAAGCCCTTTTGTCAGGACCTTTCTCACAGTGGGTCGTACTAGAGGCCGTGGGTTTGACCAGAACCTGGGATGAAGTGGGCGGCGGGCCCCTTCTGTGGGCTCTGTTTCAGAAACAGCTGAAGCTTCAAGTGACCAGGCAGAGCACCCTTGGCTGTGAGCGAGCCTCTTTTAATGATGGAGAGTGGTTCCACAGCATGATGGCAGGCCATGCTTGAGGCCCACGTGAGCATAAATTTAGCTAAAAAGAGGTAAATTCTTTGTGCAAAACATCTCGTGCAGGCGTAGAAACACTCTGTCTCCCCATAGCTCAACGCATGGTTCCAGTTTTATGGGTTCAGTGCAGGCTATGCTAAACTACACAGCTTCTATGCTTCTATTTTAAGACTCAGACCCTTTACCTGTTTATTTTTCAGCCAATCATGACCCTCCCTGCTTTGGGCCTGATTCAACGGTGACGGCTGGTAGGCAGCTGTCTGGGCATCATCACAAGGAGAGCTGGCAAAGATCTGGGATATTTTTATTTCTTTATTTCATCTATGTTTTTATTCCTCTGATATGATTTTGCCGAAAGACAGATGGCAGATTTGGGCTGCGAGCCTAATTAGTACCAAAGTGTTGTGGGAGTTGAGGCTTGAGGATTATTTTAAATCCCAGTTTTCATCTTTAAAAAGCCAAACAAAACAATAAAAACAACCCCCTCAGAGGGTGGATGGGTGGGGGGTGTGCATTGCTGCTTCCTCAGGCACCTTTCCTGTCGTTAGACAGACGTTAGACCTGTGAAATGGGGGTGGTTGACTAAGCTGTAAGCGCATGGGGGAGCTGGATGAGCCCAGAAGTGTAAAGGCCTGAAAGTTAGAAAAGTCGGGAGCGAGCGTGGCCGTCTGAATATTTCCTGAAGGCTAACGAGGAACGATGAGATTTGGCATGAAATGAATTCAGGAAGCGAGAGAACCAGCAGAAAAGTGAGCAGGTGTTTTGGGGAATTACTGCTTACACTGTGTCATCTTATGAATTTTGCCATCGCATAACAGAAGAGATCAAAAGTCGTATTTTCTCATAATTATCTGCCACTCTCTCCGTCGCAATCTCAAATATCTTTCCTCCTTTTAAATCACTTTGACTCTGTGTTAATAGAGGGACCGGCAGGCATTACCATCATTAATCTGTGAAACCATGATAACAAAAGTTTAGGACTTTATATTTGGTCTTTTTGACGTTCCAGACAGAAACCCTGAAGCCGGTAACTTTACAGACAGCGCCCGTCTGCCCGTGTTGCCTTCAGGTGCCTCCCTGATGGTGGTTCCTGCGGTTCTTCTTTCCATACCATTAGCCAGGATCTTTGCTTGAAGCTGCTGAAATGGTTAAATCTCTTGATTAAAGAAAATAATGATGTGCCGTAAGCGATTTAAAATGAGGTGTGTTTAATCAAGGCTGCACAGGAACCTTTAATGTCCTCGTAGGCCGATAGATGTGCTGAGGAAGCTGGAGCTTTGTCGTCTGGCTCAAAAGAGCGACGACAGCACAGTGTTTAACCTGCGTTGGGAGTGTTTTATCATCGATATGTGGAACAATTTAGATTTTTAGGGGATTTCTTCCAGGTGGGTTGTTGGGGAAAATGAAAAATATTCATTAAACCTGCCAGCGGAAAATCATTCTATCAGTTTTCAGTTATGACGGCAAAGAGAGCTTTACGCTTTATCGCAGTGACAAAGCGAACTCACTAAATGCACAATGCATGAATGGATGAATCTGATTTGGCTGGAAGGATCTCAGTCTAAATCAGGGGGATTGAAACAGGGAAATGTCTGAAGTCAGCAGGGCGGATCAATAATAAGTGTATATTTATACGTCTGATATGAAGATAAGCCTTCACCCTTTCTAAGAATGACATCTTATGGGTTTTAAACGGTCTTTTTTTTGTCTGTCCTTTTGTCTGTAATAAACATTTATTTCCCATCTCAGACTTGAGTCTAAGTCGTTTTAGTGGAAAGTCGAGAGTCATCTTTTGGCCGCTTGCTGACTAACAATCTTTTGGCTGGGCTTGGGTTGTTACAAACTGCTTTGGGAGATGCCATCTGCTCCCCGGTCGCTAAATGTGTGTCTGTGTTTACCACGAGTGTGTCTGCTGCTGGTTAGGAGAAAACAATCACCTTCTATAGTTAAAGATGACACCATGAGCGAGCCAGAACGATGCAGTTGTGGGCTTTTCATTTCTGATCTTCTATGAGGATATTTTCCTTTGTGTGTGTTTAGAGATGTCTATGTTGCCTCCAGGTGAGATGAGGTCAGCGTCCAGCAGCTGTCTCTGGCTCAAGCTGCTCAGACCATTTTACTTCCCAAAAGGAACTCTTTTTGCATACTGGAAAAAGGAATATTTCCTTAAAGCATTTAAATAAGACTGAAAATCTTTAATACAAAAGGTAAAATACTCTAATATTAATAGCTAATATTCCGTTTATTGAGCAGCAGCAGCAGCCGAGTCTTCACATATTTATGATGGAGAATCGAGCAATTGTTGCAGCTCAAACCTTCCACAGTTTACCCGGTGATGATTGTTCCGTCTCATGTCGCTGAGGAGGATGGTCCTCTTTCTCTAATTTGAGCGTTCCCTTCCCTTTTATGCCTGTGACCCTGGAAACCAAGCTGAGTGCGACACGCTGGGAGGCTGTTGTTGTTGCTAAATGTGACCTAATGAGACACAGGCTGTGAGCCGGGACTTCTGCAGGGCTCGCTTTGTCCCCATAAAGGAAGTGAGGCCTATTATTCCACATTTGAGATTCATTGAAATGCAAATGTGCGCTGTTGGTTTTCATCTGTGTGACAGACGTCACACCGAACGGCATCAGATGGACGGAAAAACGCAGAGTCATGCTTTATATTCAGTTCAGTTTAAATTAAGTGCTTGTGGCAGTCTTGCCACCGTGGGTGCCCCGACAGAGTTACTTGAGACCAAGGTGGTTGTTTTGACAGGGTTTATTTGGAGCGTGTGTGCCTCACGCACACACACTCTCACACACACGCACACACTCACGAACGCCCGGCTAAGGCTCGTTGTTTCGGTGGCTGTTCCTGCTCAGTTCCGAGCTGGTCGATTGTCCGGCTCCAGCTCTCCTCCAAACCAGTCCTCCCCAGGTCCAGCACGCTACTCTTTTTACAGAGGGGAGAGTGATTAGCCAACCGGTTCCAGGTGTGTCTAATCATCTCCCCTGGCACTGCTCACCTGAGCCTTCTCCACCCCTCCCCCCTGCAGCTGAGCGCCACGCCCCCTCCACAGTGCTGCTCCCCTACAGTTAAGATTTCACGTCTCAGGAAGGAAAGACTGAGAGGACGGTTCAGCTCTTTGAGTTCCAGCAAAAAGTCCACAACTCTGGACTCTTTGACGAATTATTGGTCAAAGTTCTGCAGACAAATCTCCACTTTTTAAATTTTTTTATAAACTGTGGATGTGAATGCAAATAATGGAGCAGATAATTGTGTCTTTCTTCCTGCGGATCTAGTGCGAGTGGCTGAAGTTTGAAAGCCAATGGCACGCTGATGAGTCAACCTGCTGCTGAACCTCAGCAGGTAATGAGGAACCCTCTGATGTGTTTCTCTGTTTCCCCTCAGAGACGCTGGATCAGTCCCCGCCGAATGCAGCCCAGATCAGATACGGTGAGGCTCCAGATCCAGCCCACACACACACACACAGATTTATTGATCCTCTTACTTTATTTATTCCTTTATTTCTGGTTGGATGTCACCACTATAGAGGCCTTCATTAGTGCCTTCAATAAGTCCACAGATGTGGCTCAAACACTGACCGTAAACGAATTCATGAAAGCTGTCTGAACAAAGTGGCGTGCAATCATTTTTCCTTTATATCTGGTTCCGCTGGGGTGGAGGTGAAAACTTCTAAGTGCATGCGTTAGAAATCTTCGGAACGAGTGGTGAAATTCTTCACACTTTTTTCACTTTGCGTTTCTCGCCCAACAAAAACATACAAGTGTGAAAAAGTCATCATCCCTGGCAGAGCTGCAGCTTCTCTACTGCAGCAGCTAAATAACACGGAGGGGTGTCATGAACACTGTGATATCCTGTGTGCCGTTTCTTTCTCAGACTTTGTTGCGAGCAGAACCTCGCATGGTATAAATAACATCAGCGATGCATTAAGGCAGCGTGTGTCGGCTGATTCTTCTCACACAGTCGGATAACAAACTGCAGCTGAAAACACCAGAAACTCAGAGACTTGCTGTCTGATTGGTGCTCAGGCCGCTGCTCTTTGCCTAATGCTCTCCCCTTGGCTTTGCAGTTTTATTCCACAACGCCGTCCCTTTCGTTGGATTTGGATTTCTTGACAATGCCATCATGATCGCAGCTGTAAGTAAAGCTGATTTAAGATATCACTTCTCAGGAGTAGGTGGCATTTAAGATGTAGAACCCTTTTCTAAGGGGTGTCCAGCCCCCAGTTGACCACTGTTTTTTTTCCAGGGAACTCAGATCGAACTGTCCATTGGAGTCACTTTGGGGATCTCCACCATGGCCGGTAAGCACCGACCAGGCAGCCTGTCGTCCAGTCCTTTTGCTGCTTATGATCCCAATGGCTACTTTTTGATGTTATCTAGGATTAATTAATCAGTGGAAACATTCTTCATTAGATTGAAATAGAGGGGATTTAATAAAAAAAAAAAAAAGACAGAAACAAGACCAGCCTCTTTCATTTACATGATAGACTTATGTTCTGCATTTGGCATATGAGGGGAATGTTTTAGGTAAGTGCACATTGTGTGTGAAATTCTGTGAAATCCAGCCGATTAGACATTTGTCACTTTGATCCCTGTTGAATTCCCTCTAGGGTCGTGCTGCTAATCTTTGTTAAAAAAAGTCCAAACTGGAGAAGAGGTACTGGTAGGTTCAGGATTTAGATGGTCAGATCCCATGTTTGCAAATTTTCCTCTTTTTCTTTTTAGAAACAAAACGGTGCTGGAATTAATATGCATTGCATTTGTACATTTATGACACAGACTGAAGACGTGAGATCACATTAAGCCTAGCCTAAAACCTCCACGACCGCAGTTTTCAATCACAATGTGAGATTATTCAAAAAGTTTCAGTAGTTTCGTCTATTTCGAATCATCGGAGGAATGCGGACTCCAGTTGGAAGCCCTAACCGCCGTCTCACCTGACAGCTCTTCTCTCAGTAATGGCCTCAGACGCTTTTATTGCTCTTTTCACCGTATTTTCTCCTCTGCCTCGACCTGATCTTGTTGCAGTTTATTGCAGAGCAGGCGACAGTCGTCACGGCTCCTGTTCTGGCCTCACTTTGCTTCTTTATTACGCTGTGAAAACATAAAGGCACCGGAGCCCGCCTCCCTCTCTCTACTGCTGCATTATTCTGTTTCCATGGATACTTGGCTCTGATTTCCGCTGCGAGGTGCAAATCGGAGGCTGAAGGCGGGCATCGAATCGATAGCTCCACTCTGAAGCCTTTATCCACGGAGGCACTTTTTATTTGTTCCATCCCTCGTCCAGCCAGCCGACTTATTGCATTTCTATTCTTCTTCTGAGGGGTCTTACTTTATTACCAACTCGTTCCTGTCTGCCGTGCCCAGACTGCGTCACACATTCTCACCACCCTCAAAAGCTTTCTCTTAAAAAAATAAATAAAAGGAATAAAAAAAGCCATTCATTTTAAGTTTTGCATGTGAGTTTAAATCAAAGCACTGTGAGCCACTCAGGGAAAACCAACGGCTCATCACCTTCCCTGTTTTAACTTATTCCACATTTTCTACTGTACTGTCAGCCAGCCTTTGTCAAAGTTAACGGGCTGCACCAACAGCAAATAACAGCTATGAATTATTAAGTGGGATAGTCGGAGAGCCGAGTTTGACAGGTTTTTTTTTTTTTTAAGACGCCAGCGAAAGAAGCTGCCTGGTGACATGGTGGGTTTCCAAAAGGGCTCTTTGATCCCTGAAATATTCACCCAATTTCTCTCTGCTGCCAGCTTTTATCGCGTGCTAGGCTGCTTTGATCTCTTGTTCCACTCTTGATCCGTTTAAATATACAGAGGTTAATATGATGTACTGACTTCTTCAAGTCGAACTGTAAGCTGGTGAGCGCAGGTCCTCCATCACTGACAAAAAGGAACCAGCCTCCGAGTATATGTCTCAAATCCTTCTGCAATCCATTAATTCTCCTACACTGATTAAAAAGGACTGACTCAGTTACCTGCTTCTGGATAATGTTCAGTTCGGCACGCAATAAAGAAACGTCAGCTCAAGCTGGAAAACCAGCTCAGATCCAGGAGAGGAAAAACCAGATTTCTTCTCTTCAGGATTTCCTCTCATCTCCTGCTTAATCAGTGATATGTGGGAAGCTGGCAGGAACCAGCCGGTGAATCTGATACCTGAATCTTGGCCAGGTTTGCTTAGCAAACCTGTTTACCTTTTTCAGTAATCTGCACGAAGGCAGCAGCCAAAAATCCCCTCAAGGGTTTATTTAATTATCGCCTTATTATAATGGTTTGTTGACCCCGGCTGTGGTCCTGGATGAGAAGGCAGATGGCAAACGGGCAGCTTTCTGCGTCGGAATTGGGTTTCGGCCCCTCTGAGGAATACCAGAAGTTTATTGGTTCCAGTGTCTCACGCACATTTCAGATTCACACAGCCGTAGTTTCCAGAAGAGAAAAAATCAACGAGACAGTTTAGTTTGGTTCCCCTGATGTTATAAAATAAGGCCCTTTTTTAAAAATGTGAAATCGGGCACATTTTGAGCCCATAAATGTTGACGTGCTTCATGTTAAAAAAGGATGACTGCAAATTCCATTAAGTCTGATGGACTTCTCAGTAACTGAGGTTGTTTTTTCCCTCCTTTTTTCATCAGAGAACAGCAGAAATCAAAGTGTTGTCTTCTTTGTGTCTCTGCAGCTGCCGCTCTGGGGAACCTGGTTTCAGATCTGGCAGGTCTGGGGTAAGCAGCCTTTCAAACTCTGCTCTGAGGGCTCAGTTTCAACCAATCGGGTTTAAGGAATGCCTCTGCAACACCTAATGGCTGATGTTCATTAGATGCCTCTCTATAAGGACGAGTAGGGCTACTTTGTCATCTCTGTTAGTTTGTGTGTTTTTAATTGAATCATTTCACATGCTTTCATCTGAAACACCGCATAATGTCTCTCTCTGTTGTGCGATGTGTTGCTTATAGTTCATGTATCTCGCTGTGAGTTTCAGTGTTTTTAACAGAAAGCAACCAGCTGTTCTACATAATTTAAAACTGCAGCAGTTTGTGATTGACTCTGATTGAGGAAGGCATTTTAGGTTTGAAAAAAAGTCACCAGTTGTTCTCACTCATTAAAGCTGATTTTTTTTAGTTTAAGGCTGACAATGTATGACCGTTAAAAGCACTGATCTGAATAAAAGGCAAACCTTTTGCCTGTGTCAGAGTAGCATTAGCCGCAAACCACCGTTACAGGTTTAAAAAAATCCAACTAAAGTGTGGCTCATTTTTTATTTCTGACATTTTCCTTAACACACAGCTGTCTTACTTATGCTTTACATCACGACAAGCCTCTTTTAGGAGAATGTTGCCTCTAAAACTGCACAAACTGGTGTAGTCTTGCAGGTTACGTGGAGGCTCTGGCCCTCAGACTGGGGATGCAGGTGCCAGACCTGACGCCCAAACAGGTGGACATGTGGCAGACCAAGCTCAGCTCTCACATGGTAAGAGGATTTTTTTTTTTTTTACAAAAGCAAAAAAAAACTTTTGGGATATTTTGTCCTCTCTCTCATACAAGTTTAAGCTTTGAATGAAGTGCTTTGCAACATGCTTTAGCTTTTAGCCTTAAAACATTTCTCAAAGGGTGAATATCGGAAAACTTGTGGAATTCTAATTGGACTTGATGGAGTTTCACTTTCACTTGTCCTGCAGGGAAAAGCCATCGGCGTCTCCATCGGCTGCATTTTGGGGATGTTCCCGCTGTTTTTCCTGAGCGATGACGATGAGAAAGACAAAGAAGCACAACCCTGCACCGACAAAGCATCACACTCCTAACAAGCCACTCCGTCCACACTCGCGCTGGAAGCTGCTGATGTCAGCGTCACAGGAGTTTTACTGTCGGACGTTTCTCTGTCGTCCTGCTAGGGGGGCGTTTTTGTTTTCATGTTTCTTCTTTTTTTTCCTGTTTTGGCAGTTATAGTCGTTCAAAAGGTCACATTTTTATTTCTCAGTGTGCGGAGGTGAGTGTTGTACCATCTCTGATTGTAGATTGAAATAATCTACCATCGGCCCTTAATGAGCAAAAACTAGTGCAATCCCCACATCCCCTTTGAGTTGAAGTGACATCATTTTGGAACGGAGGTGTTTTTATTTCTGCTTGTTGAATTGAAGTGTTATATTATGGGATCTGGAAATGTGGGGTTAGCCTGTAAGCCAGCAGATGGTCTTTTCAGTTTTAAAAATAGTAACACCACCAGTGTGAGTTAACTAGAGTTAGCTAAGCAGCTAATTACCCTTCACTGTAATTCTCTGCAAAGCTACCAGTCAAACCTGAGCAAGTTTGAGTGTTTAGCATGTGAAATGGAGAGACCGAGTAATTGTTCCTGTTCCAGGAAGTGGTGTTAGAACTAACAAGTGGCCGGCTCTTAAACAAGACACTGGCGGACAGAAAGATTGGAAGTAAAATCGTATGCAAAGGGGTGCATTTAAAATCATTTGGATTGTCATCAAGCCCACAGAAGGCGTCTTTAAGTGGAAAATCTGTGTAATTCTGTCACTGAATGGGAAAAGCTTCAGTGCTGGGTGCAGCTAAAAGGCTCCAAACTGTCGTGCAGATATCTGTTGAAAGCAAACCGGAAGAACACAGTGCGATTCTGCACCACCAACTAAGTTAATTTGTTTTTTTCCACTCATGTGTTTTTCTATTTATTTGGCAGCTTTTTCACCCAAGAAAAAGCAACAACCATGTCATGAACGCCACCTCAGTAGCTTCTATGGTGGGAAGTGCTCGCCTGTAGCTGATTCTTCTTCTTCTTCTTCTTCTTCTTCTTTCAGCTAACTTTTTATTGGTTAGTTTCACTATAGTGCATATAGTATATATACAAACTAGTTAGTCATTTCCCTGCATGACGGCAGAAACACGATCAGTAGACACCGAGTGACTGGTCCCAGCACCATTTAACCTGGTAATCAGTTAAAGAAATGCCGTTTATTCTTTTTTTTTTTCTTTTTTTCTTTTGCAGAGACTTTATACGTTTAAAAATATTTGATTCAAAACACTATTTATTCTTGAGTAGGTAATAGTCCAGTGTAAAGTCAGATAATTATGAGCAGTCTTGTGCGTGTTTTCCTCAAAACGATGTAAATCAAACTGGAAGTGTCATCCGCTACCTCGAGGAATAGCGTCTGTTTTTGCATGAAGAACCGGTGGTGTTGTATTATCTCTGTTTTTATTCAATGTTTAACGATCTTTGGATCTTTTAGAAGGTGTTAAGGTGCAGTGCACGCTGTTTGGAAGCTGAAGTTGCTGCTTTCAGTTTCGGCTGATTTTTCTTTACCTGTGTTTTTTCTTCTTTTTTTTTTTCTGATTCTTTTAACGTCTATCTTTCTCTGACACCCGCCACTGATTGTGCCATCTGTTGTTTAGTTTGAGACGTTATCAGACAGGCTCCGGATGGTTGAGATTCACCATAGAAGCTGCTCCTGTTTATCGTAAAGCAGCAGCCTCTATCTTCTTTGCCTCTCAGCAGACTTTGCTTTTGATTTTGGATCCTCAGTGACTCCGACGATGCGTTGTTCTTTAACAACCCTCATTGCTGCTTACTGTTATCTTATTCACTTCTATCATTGTATTGTCTAAATCAGGCCTTTAACAAGCAGTATTTTGTTACTTATAAATCCATTTATCAAGTGAAGATGGTTAATTCCTTAAAATATCACACAAAATCTCAAAGTGAATCAGAAATGTTTCAGATTTTAGAGGCCAGAGGCATAAAAGGTCTTTTTGTTCCATAATGATTTGATTGAAGGAATTTAGATACTTAAATATTCACATCGGACTAAAATTGTTTGGTTAGAAATTTCGATCAAATGTAAATTTCCAATTACTGGACCATAAATATTTTTCCGGGCACAACTTAACATCAAATGAAGAGAGGGAAATTGTTTTATTCCTCAATAGGAAATACATACAGCTGAATTCAGCCAAAGGTCTTATATTTTTCTTCTCAAATGTTGCAGTTTTAACGGTGGCGTTATCAAACCAACATGGACATTTTCTGTATTTCTACATATTTAAATAAGTTTCCTGTTATTCTTCTGAACACTACTTTCTCTGTTGCATTCACTCAATTTCCCATGGTGCACTGTTGCTGTCAGCTGTCTTCAGCAAACGGTTATTTCTACGCCTTCAGAAGATGGCAAAACTCAAGTAGTGTTAGTGAACGTGTGATTTACCTGCTGCTGATTCTCCAAAAATGCTCAAAACAATTTAAAAGCGGAACATATTTATCTGACAGCCGAATCTCTTAACGATAAGGACAAGATATAAGAGTAATAACTTTGGATGCGTTGAGGGGAATTGGCTGGTCTCATCTTTCCTCTTAGGAAACAGATCTGTTGCTGATTATGGGGGGAACTTCTGTTCTGACCCATCTGCAAGTAGTAACTATGTTATAAGCGGTGTTCTGTTTAAGTTGGCCTTCCTGAATTGGTTTCTTCACATTTTCAGCAGAAAATGGATGTTTTCATGACGGGGCCGTGTCCTCCTTACTCTTACTTATACTCAACTAATTTTTGGTTGTCTAAAGAAAAGATGTAAATGTTTTGAAGCATAAGAACAATAGTTTGTCTTCCTTTTTATTCAACTAATTCAAGGAATGCCATGTTGTGCTGCCACCTTGTGGACAGTGTGGAATAGCAGCCGCTTTGCACTGACACAAGTTGATACTTTAAAACCTGTACCGTCTCTCTGGTGTATGCATTTTGCTAAATTATCTGCAAGTCAAAAAGATAATAAATATGAGAGTGTTTACTTGCTGTTGTGCTGCGCTTCAGTATCTTTCAGTACCATTTCTGAAGTGCCCTGGAGCAAAGGCAGTGGCTCCTGAGGAAGAACGACCCCACTCAGGTCAGACCCTGCAAAGTAAAGCCGACCAGGCCCCGTTTTTGTTTGTTTGTAAATGACCAACTAGATTTAATATCAGACAGCGTAGCCTCTAATGGAGTCTTCAGATGTAATTACTTTTCAGATATTGAGGTGCAAGGAACAAAACGGTGATGAATGAATGAACGGCTTCAGTGATTGTTTCTCCATATCTGACGTTTATGTTGAGAGAAAGTGGCTGCAACAAGAGTTTCAGACAAATCGGTAGCATTTATCTGGAAAACGGACACGTGAAACCACCACGAAGGAGCACCTTAAGTAAGAATACAAAAATCAGAATTGAATAAGTATTTAGGATACACTGTAAAATCAATAATAATAAAAAAAAACGGGCAACTTGTGTCAAATTAAAGGCCAAATGTTGGAGGGTAAGAAGACGTTAAAAGCTACTGCTCTCCACAGAAGTGGCCTCCAAACACAAAGCACAAGTCATAATTTTTTAAAATCTAAATCGAATGCGTCTTCATTTCTCTAAAACCCAGTTACATTGAAAAAAAAAAAGTTTCAATAACTGAGTGGACCTTCATCAGAAACGAATTTCCCTCACTTGTCTAATTCTCAGTGTTAGCCTCATTCACATAACACAATAACAGTCATCACAGGCTCAAATTCAGCTTCATACGCTTGTGTTCGCATCAGCTACACTGGTGTTTCTGTAAGTCTGCTGTGGAGAAAGAACAGGAACAAAGAACAGTCGTCATACGGAGCGTCAAACTGCAGTCAGAACCCCCCCACCCCCCATCCCGAAAAAAAAAAGTAATTACAAGGAGGATATCTATCTGTTCATTCAAAGCCAGACCAACTGTGGACATTTGTTCCAGTTGAAAAAAACAAACTAACATGCATTGAATATATTTGATAGATTAGAATACGCTCCAACAGTATAACAGGGAATTTAGAAAAATAAAAAAAGGAAATGACCTGATCAACATCCATGTTAGAGTTCAGTAACACAGGGTTTGGCTTTTTGTTAGTTTTTTTTTTCTTTACTGTATCTGTAAGGTAAATATAAATAAGAAGGTAATCACGCTTTAACCTTTTTTAGTCTCGTCAGTCTCTATATGCATTGTGGTGGAACATAGGCGACAGGTGAAAACTTTCCAGGAATTTCACTGAAGAAAAAAACTAAGAAATGCACCAGGAATCCAGTTTGTTGACCCCACTGCCAAATATTCATCTCATCACACGTGAGTAAAAGGCAACAGATAGCCTACCGTTTCTGTTCAGAGGCAACTACAATAAAATGTTGCCTTTTTTTAAGAAAACAGAAAAATCTGACAATTACTAGTCTGCTATTTTTTCCAACAAACTCAAAATTTGCCAAATATTATACAGTTTATTATAAAACTGAAGGTCCAGATGGGCTTGAAAACACATAACTGGTTAAGAGACCATTAAAATGTGTTGAACTCTTGAAATGGGTAAAATAAAACCCAAAGTAAGCTAAAGTAACTTTACATGGCTGCTAATATCTATAGAAACAACAAAAAGACCTTCACACAGCAAGTTGATCCACCAGCAGGTAGGTCTGGTGTACAACACAAAGCGCCATTTCAAATGGTCATGAATGCAACATGTAGGTTTTATATTAAAGGAAAACAAACCTTTTACTTTAAACTTAAATGTATTCATTCAGGATTAGCCAAACTTACTTTTCTAAATTTTAGTCAGAGAACCACATCCATTGATTTGTGAGACTGGATCAACTGTTATAGACCTGATTAAAGTTATATTTTTGTACCAAGATGCAGCTTAAAGAAAATTGAGCAGTCTTTCTTTTCTTTTTTTTTCTTTGGAAAAATCTAATTTTAATTCTTTAACATTGATTTTCGCATACATTTGTGTATCTGGCTTTGGAAAAAGTTTTTACTCGATATAATCTTCCTCCTCTTTTTCTCCACAATAGCCAAATTATGGAGTCACGAGGGGAACAATATTGAGAAGATTTGGCAGTAAAATAAAACTAAAAACAAACGGATGTTTTAAAAAAAAGGCAAGATATGTATAAACCTTACATTTTAAAATGGGAATACATTTAGACTCGCAAACTGAAAAATATCTGCTCTGCCCTCAGACTCAGACTATTTCTCACTAAATAGTGAAAATCTGTTGGACAGCTGTTAATTCTAAAATAAGTGGTTTAATTGTTGGATGTAATGGCATCGTTCCCATCTCCACACAGAAAACCGGCTACACTGATAGCCTCAACGTCAATCCCCCTGCTGTCAGCTCACATTTAACTGTATGTCATCAGGAAAACCTTCCCCACTACGTGCTGTAAAAGATGATATTACAAAGTTGTTTTTTCTTCTTACATAAATAACGCTTTAAAACTCTGATTACTGCAGCGCACTAAGTGCTGACACTCAGCGGTAGCTTCACTATAATAATGTCCACAACTGTTTACGTTAGTGTCAGCTAAATCGGCACACGGGCTTCACTACAACAGACCATTACACTAATCCACATTACTCCACAGTTCCTACAGAGGAGTAGCAACAGGGACACGGTAGTGACGGCCTCTATGAGTGCTATAGATATGCATCGTCTGCTAACACGCACTGTGCAGTTGCTACATTTCAGGTTAAAGGATTTAAATAGTTACTTAGAATTGTGAGAATTAGCTTTTTAAACTTTTTTGTGCATTTTTAGGAAATTTGTTTGAAACTTTCAAAGTGCTTCACAGGAAATAAACTCTAAAATAACACAACCATCAAACCTAGATGACAAAGAGAAGTGGACATCAGACTGTTCTAGAACACCACCCTCCTTGAGTCGTTTTGCAGTTTACAGGATCGCAGACACGACGTGGGCTGCACAGCTGATCGGCTCCTATTCACTCATGGATTTCGTTTAAAGGGCTAAGTGATTATTTATACCGGGGGCAAACTGTCGGAGCATGCAGGTCAATCTATCGTTAATATCTGCAACAACAAAAACCCTACGTTAATGATTACACTCTTCAGTGCGCTACCCTACAAATACAAATACTTTATCAGTTTGTTTAATAGCTCATTTCTTTCTCAAATACCATAACTTTAATATATATGTGAAGAGAAATTCAAAGATGTCATGTGACGCACATCAGCTTTTGGCACCTTAAGTGAAAACGGGAGACTACAGGGAGGAAAAGCAAGCGAATGGCAAACGAAAATGACAAAAACAACAAAATCTAAATATGTACATACAAGTAATGATTTGATCTTTTTGAAAATACTCGATCATTCCATCATAATCTCTGACCTATCATTACAACTTTCGATTCAATTTTAGGTTTCCTATCCAACAGACTTGCATTTCCCTGCCTTCTCGCGGTCGATTAGAGAATCTTTTTCTCTCTTTCAGAGACTGAAGTTGCCCAGAAGAAACAATCAGGGGATCAGTGTTCCCTGTAGTATTTCTCACAGGATCTGAGTGAAAACCTGAACTTTTTTTTACATATTTTAACAAGGTCTTCTTGGATTAGATTAGTTATTAGTGGCTAAATTCAGTCTGTAATGATTTCATCCTCCTTCACACTTCAACGAGAATAACAACAAAACCAAAACGGACCTTCTAGTTGAGATTTTCAAACGACGCACCTTATAGAGAAGGTACAAATCAAAAGTCGTCACCTTCAAAACTGATCCTGGATTAGTCCTTGGGCAACTTCCAGCTATTTTGGCACTCGGAGCTTCAATTGGCGGGGGCCATTTTATGTCCTCTCAGTGGGATACAAACTGATCCGGTCGAGCCGGGCCCGGGGGGGAGTCTCAGTGAATGATCGGCGCCGACCGGTCGTTGCTTATAGTTTTCTTGAGCTTGACCCCTCGCCGGATGGCCACCAGAAAGTCCTCCACCTCGCTGTACTCCGTCTCCTCCAGGAGCTCCGGCAGGGGCCGGAGCTCCCACTCGGCCTGCCGGCCGCCCGGCTGCGGCGGGGGGGTGGGGGGGTCGGACCCCTCGTCCGGCTGCTGGCCCTCCCAGCTGCTGGACCTGGGCGACAGCGGCCCGCTGTTGCCGGGGGACACGGGGGTGGTCGGGGGGCTGAGCGGGGTCCGTGCCGGGAATCCAGGGTGCTCGGGCACGGTGGGGGTCTTGACGGGGATCATGGGCGGCTTGATGGGAATGGGGCCCAGGCTGAGGCCCCCGGAGGGCCGCCTTAAGTTGGGTTTGGAGGACGGAGTTCGCCTGATGGTGGCGACGCCGGGGGTGACCATGGCCGCGGGGTTGGAGGGCAGCCCGGCGGTGGAGGCCGGACGCTTGGACTGGAACATGCGGCGGTAGGACTGGCTGATGTCGCTGTTCCTCGGGATGGTGGAGGACTTATCGAAATCTGAGGAGTGGTGCTGCTGCTCGCCCTCCTGATCTGCGCCCACGGAGTAGTAGTCGCAGTCTGACACTAAAGGACACACAAAACAAGGTGAGTACAACCCGGGCGTTTTCGGGGACCATCAAATCCTAACGAGCTCTTCCAACTCTTGCGTGTGAACCGTTAGATTTCGTCGTATTTTGGTGGGCACCTTGGGAGGGGATGGCGTCCTCGGAGCAGCAGGGCGTGTTGGTCTGGCTGCTGTAGCCGCTGGAGCCCTGCAGCGAGTCCCTGCTGGACCCGTGGATGTCCAGGTGGAGGCCCCGGGCCAGCACCCTGGCCAGCTCCTCTCGGGCTTCCTTATCCACCTTTTGGTAGAAGCGTGTAATTATCAGTATATTGCGTTGATATTTTGGGATTTTAACTGGTCCCAGAGTCCAAGAGAATGAAAAAGAGTAGTCTTTTGCACCTTTGGGGAGGTTCCTTTGCCTCCATGATGCTCATCCACAGGTGAAGTGACATCAGGCCCCTGGTGACTGCTGGGATCTGTAGTCTCTCTTCTGTCCTTGCCTCTCCTCAGAGTGTTGATCATGGGCTGGTCATACGGGCCCGGTTTGGCCCAGTCCTACAAATGCAGACACAATCCAAAACAATAAACCAAATATTGTCGCTGCTCTTTACCATCATGTAGGGTTGTTACTCATTGTTCTACAGCGTTAAATTTAGTTTGACTTAACTGACACAAGCCAAAATGAAATGAAAGAATATTCATTTTCAAGTTTCCAATGATCCAAATAGAGGCTAGTTTTCCATGATAAATTAAAGTTTCAGTTGCCAGTGAGTTGGGAGCTAATAATCAACATGTCAAGACGTTTTAAAAGTGGAATTTGAAAGCTGCAGCTCTCGTGTGAGCTGCAGCCAAAGGCGAATAATGAAGTGCTGCAAGAATGAGTTGAGAAGGCATAAAAAAAAAAATCAAAGAAGCAAAGATGAAACGGAGAAACTGAAAGAAAGGGAAAAGACATCAGGGAGAGATGCGGATCAAACCTTCCAGGATGGGACTCTGGATGAAGGGACCGTTCCAACCCCTGTAGGGCTGAGAGGTTGGAACTCTCCTGACTGGCCAAAGCCCGACTGGGCCCAGGACCATGTCGGACAAACGGACGAACAGGTGGGCGAGGAGATGGGAGAGATGGTGGTGGAGGAGGAGGAGTAGGTGAAGTATGAGGGGTGGAGGTGGGTTTCCTGGGCCTGGGGGACCACTCCGTGCGGACAGAGGGCAGCGTGATGGTCAAAGCCGTTTGACAACTGAAGGTGAGCGGACGAAGGAGAAGCAGAAACAAGTGAAAATTAAAGGTGATGATTCATGGCTGGATGTGAAAACAAGATGCAGGTGAAAGAGGGCGGCGCAGGGTAGGAAGAGGAGAAGCGGCGTAACGAACGAAGGCCTTTTCAGGGATCGGAGGACTCAAACGTTAAATTTACACCTTCAAATTAGTTGTCATAGCACAAAGAAAAGTGAGGACTCAGCGGAAGTTCAGCAAAGCAGATCCCACTGAACGCCCCCATGTAGCCCTGCAAAACTAAAGGGTTTGGGACAAAGGTCCGGCTGGCCCACAAGCCCAACCTCTGTGTGCACTTTTCCCATGCATTTGTTCACCTGTTGGTCCCCAGAGCTGGGCTCAGGGTGAGAGGCAGAGGAAGATGAGGAGGCCTCCTCACTGACAGACTGAGGCGACAGAGAGGAAACACACCGCCGTGGGAGAGCCATGCAGAGCGCACACACATAAAAACACAAACACGAGAAAAACTGAGGGAGCAGGACAAAAGAGTTAGCAAGAAACAAAAGCGGATGGGAAAGGATGGGAAAGGAGGAAGAGTCGGTGGAGCGCAAAGCTGGAAATCATGAACAGACGAAGCAAGATCAACAATCAAGTGTTTCATCTTAATTTAGCCATAAAGAAAACACTGATCAACATCAGTTTAAATCAGTCATAGTTGTCACTATGTTCAGTTTAACTATATCATAGTACAGAAAAGGTAGCATCATTATTCAAATTGTTGTGCAATGTCCCATGATCACTGCCAATATTCATACTTTATATATGTTAAGGTAACGCTTAAATCACAGGGAAAGCTTCTACCACGTGCACTCACATTTAAGCCTCATTTCTCACAATATGAGACTAAATACGTCTAAGCAGGTCCAGACGAAGACCCAACTATGTCTGATAGAGCAGACTGCCCACAACAGTTTGCTGTTAAATGAAAAAAACTGAAATTTATAATACTATATGGTCGGCATCTTTTTATCCACCCTTATGTCCACCCTTTGCCCATGAAGCTCAGCTTGGGGAACGGTCTGCTGCCACATGGGGCTGCTGCAGTGACTCAGCAGATACAATCAGAGCTGTTGCTTCACACTGATGATAAACTGATTCCCGGCATCCTGGACCCCGGCAGTTACCCTCATTCGTCCAGAAAGAAGGTTTGAAAAGAACCCCAATTAGGATGTGCAGTGACTACTGTTACCTGTAAGCTCTCTGGAGGCATAGGCGAGGGGGATTTGGACTGGAAGGCGTCCTGTGAGATGAAACCAGAATCATGGGAGGAGACAGAAGACAGGCGGGCCGGCGTCTGCTGGGGCATCGCCGAGGAGGAGGAGGAGGAGGCCCGGTAACGGAAATGGGAGGTGGGGGAGTGGCAGTGCGAGCCGCTGGAGCGGGAGTCGCTGCTGTTCACGCTGTTCAGGCTGCTGTGGGACAGAGGAGGAGGGAGAGCATGACGCTGCAGTGCATTTCGGTTTAAAACGGGTTGCCATTGTGTCTTCAAGTCTGTAACCACGGGAGACCCACATGTGATTGTGTTACATCACAATCAGCTTTGCATGACCACAAGGACAAAGATGCTGAAGGAACCAAAGTAAAAACGCACCCAGAGTCTAAAGCATCCCCTTACCTGTCTTGTTAATTCAACAGAAAATAGGAATATGATGGATATACCACAATAATTTTTAGCTGATATTCCTGATATGCTCTCTTATTTCCAATGAACAAACAGGCAACACTAGCAAGTGATTAAAATATGCAGTCTCATATATTCATCACATGGGGGCAGCAGAGTGCATTCTCCATTAAAGGAGTAGCTTTGCTCAGAAAATGGCTAGTTTGCCCACAGAAAAAAGCAAAATGGACCCACAAGACCAAAAGAATGATAAAAAAATGGGTTTTACTCCCACAAACATGCAATGAAGACACCTGAAGAGCTGTAAGCAGGAAACAACTCCAATAGATAGAATTGAGAAGGCTTGGATGTAGCAGGGAGAAAAAGAAAGCTTGTAAAAAGATGATATAGATGCTGCACAGAATCACCTGATAGTGACACAGCATGTTTACAAATTGATGCATACCGACAAAAAGGAGAAGCTAAATGACGACAGGCACAATATACTCTCAGAAGACCAGATGCGAAGTCATCAAAAACAAAAGATAATCAAACAGAATAGATCCTACATTTTCAGAGATTGATGGAAAATTATGCAGAGAAGCTGTTGCACAGCTGAAGACACTCCAGTAAACCACCATTTGGTTACTTAAATGGATTTGTGTCCTTTTCATCTGGATCTTTTATCCCTCGGAGTGATGAGTGGGTGCGTTTTTACATGCGGTTCACAGTCTGTGAAGGCTGCTGCCACGCTAACAAACCTGCACATGCTTGACTTTCTGGATACTGTGGTGCTGGGCGAAGAGGGCGGGGTTTGGTAGGACCAGGTGCACTCCGAGCCCTTCAGGTCTACAATTACCTGCAGGGAAATAAACATAAAACAGTCTTTGGGTAAATGATCATGTGACGAAGCTTCCGCAACCAGGAAAGATCCTTGACTGTGGTGACTCACGCTGTGAATTCAAGCAGATTTTATGATGCAGTAGGGCCCGTAATTTACCAGTTTGTCTGTGTTTCGGTCTAAGCTGTTATTACGACAATTTGTTTTTTCCTCAAAGAGCCTCACACAGAGTTGGTTCAGAGGAAAATGTGAAACTACTTTACGCTCAAATTGATAAGATAATGGATGAAAAACTTATAAATGGTTAAAAAAAACCCATAAAAGACAGTAATACTGAATGTTTTTAGCCACAATGTACTAAAATTGAACCACTTCCTGTAAATTGAACCACAACAGAATGCAGATTTTTCACAAACTGATCACATTCCCTCCCAAATAAATAATGATCCTCCCGTCATGCTTTTGTATTAAACACAGCCTCAGTCTTACATTACTTAGATATGCAAGTATTGTATTAAATATGTAAGGGGTTTATAAAATACTGGTTTGGTTTTACCTGAATCAACATACAGTATCAGAAAAGTGATTTATCCTCATCAGGTACAAAGTGTGTCAGAACAAGGGGAAGATGACCATCTGCTACTTGGCCTCCAGCTCTGTTAAGCAGGTTTTGGCCGATAGCGAGACGCAAATTTTCACATTGCTCAGTCAATGAACAACTTCCAGAGCCAAAGTTTGCCATTCCAGCTGGATTCATTCTGCAACTAACGCTCCAAAGCACAGATATTTGCTTAATTTCAACATCTCACATTAAAATTATGCAAAGCCCCACAAAAGAGAAGCTAAAACTACTAAATGATCCAATTAATAAAAGCAGATTCTGCCAAAAGATAAAACGATGAAATATCAGCCCCGCACAAAAAGATCAGATGGATTTTTATGAGTGTAAGTTAATAAACTTTAAGTCTGTATTTCCAGACCTAAGTTTGTTATACTCAGACCGTTAAATACCAGGCAGAAAAATTTGAGTAGGTTATATTAAGATCAGTACATAAAAAGATGCCAAAGCAATGATTTACAGCACTGTCGGAGCTTCTGCTGTAAGAGGCAAATACAGTCTAATTTAATCATGATGGTCTCACTAACAGGACTCTGACAGGTTGGCATGGTTTCAAAACCTCACTGAAAACTGTTCTTATAAGAGGAAATGTTGTCAGCGGGCCGTACCTGCTCACTGGAGGCGGGCAGCTTGTGTGGGTCCATGGTGAGAGCCTTCAGATCATCCGTCAGAGTCTTGAGGTGAGTGATCTCCCCCAGCATGGACATCTCCTCATCCTAAAACCCAAACACACCTCAGCTGACTCGAGAATTTACCCCAAAAGATGCCTCTCACAAAAAGAGCTGGGTAAACATGCTTTTAGTCTCATATTTAAATGGCAGATCAGCAGGAGCTGCTCGCGTTTATTCATTTTTCCCTTTTTCTGCCCACTGGTCGGGATACTTAGGCAGCCACTGACCACGACGGGCCGCAGCATGGACACGAAGCAGCAGAAGCGGCTCCTCTCCTCCACCAGCGCCTTCCTGACGGCCTGCTTCTCCGTCTCCTCCAGCAGCAGGTACTTGTCGCTGACGTCCTGCATGGCGCTGTCCAACTGGGGCTGCAGGTCTCCGCGGCCTGAACGCAGAGACACCGTCCCTCACCATTAGATAAAAACCCACACGTCCACAAGAGGTGCTGCAGCAGGTAAAAGGGCTCAAAAACCAGGCTCCAGCCACATCATACACATATAAAATAAGCTGATTCCTTGTTTAGTGAAGTAATAAATGCCGTATATCACAATTGTCTACAAAAAAAGGGTCCAAAATGTATTATTTCCATGTGGGCATACAGGGGGAGGATGCATTAAAAAAGAAAAATGAATAAATAAAATGTCCCAGACAAGAAGAATATAGTCTCCAATGTAATTCCATCAAAGTGCCTGTTCAAGTTACCAAACTGATGACATTCAGATAAGTGTTTGTGGTATTATGGAAATTATATTTAGTTAATTTCATCATAACTACGGCGAAGACACTCCATTTTTTGAGTGTGAGAAACATAAAGGGGACATTTAAAGGAGGCAGACGGCTTCAAGCAAACCACAGCCAGATTATGAACAAGCTGTAAGATTCGGTTTTACCAAACAGAACCAGAGTTAGACAGAGAACAGTCTGTTCTTAGACTGCGAACACTAGATCCCCTCAAAACAATAGTTAGTCTCCCACAAACCATCAAACCACATTAAAGAATTAAACAAGTTCAGAGGCAGTAATTAGTCGAGCCCTTCCACTGGGAAACAAACAACTGCTGGCACCAGATTCAAACACATATTAAGATGTTTATTAATGATCTTTATTATTTTTGCCTACAGAGAAACCACATATTCACTTTATCATGAAACAGTGTCCTTTCATAAGTTTACCCTGTTATAAAGAAGAGCCGGAGTTATTACATTTGGGCAACCCAGAGTGGTTTATAGACTCAGGTCTTTGGGACAAATGTCATTACATCAAATTACATCTGAGTTGTTTGCCCCCGTTTAATATATATATATATATATACACACATACATACATATTAAATATTATATATTGGTACACACTATCTACTATCTACACTATCTATAATAATAATAATAGTGAGCTGATTTTTTATCATTTTAAGGCAGTTTTTTAAAGTCTCGAGTTACGTTTTGGGCTTTGGATTCACCTGCTGACATCAGTGAAAAAACTCTTTTGTAACCCCCTTGGATTAATCTAAAAGTCTGAAACTTGACATATTGTGGACAGTTCTTACATATGTCCACTCTGATAGAAAAGAGGAGGCGATGTTTCATATTTATGATTTGCAGAAGGAGTACCTGTGTTTCATCAGACTTCTACTCATGGCATCAATAAAGAGCCCAAGTTGAATTCCAGAGAATCACAAACAGTCCAGCCACATTTCACGATATCTTTTCCGTTTGTCTTTTGCCATTAAAGCAGAAAGAACCCTGATCTGTGGCAATACCGTGGGCTGACCTGTTGTGGGGACGGCATATCTGTAGATGCACAGTTGTGCAGTGACTGACAGGTTAGATTTCTTTATCTGGGGTCGCTCTCAGTAATTCGTTTAGCTTTGCCACTGAGCAGATCATCTAAAGAGATTTCATTCTGTTCTGCTTTCGAGGTCTCGATTTAGATCTGTCCCCGGCAGGTCCTGGGCCTCGGCTCGAGCTGACCCATCAGCGCACAAAGGGGTGATGGTGATGAAGAGCTGCCTAAATACCCCCTATGTGGGAGCACTTGTGATTTATCTTTGATAAGAAACACAATCGCCGACCGAACATATTTGTGTCATCTTGAATTATCTCTCAGTTGCAGACTTGAAGTTATAGATAGGAGTAAGAATACTGAGAGCATAAAGTTGCAGATCAAATGTCTTAGTCAGTCTTTTCATTGGTTTGTTGGCAGTCAGACACGACATGCTGAAAGAATGCCCATCACAATTTCCCAGAGCCCAAAATGGCATCCAGTTATATGTGACCGCATCACATGTAATCCACTAATTTCATTATAATCTGTCGATTATTGCTTTTTTTTTTTTTTTTTTTGCTCTTTAAGTGCTTTAGGGTACTGATTTCCTTCTTTAAGGCGATTGTTTAGCAATCCCATCTTCTGAAGTTGAGGGAAGACATAAACATGCAATTAAAGTTCCTGGTTTCTCCAGTGAGACCCGGAGCTGGTTTCTGCGGTCAGGCTGATAGACGGGAGAGCACTCAGTCTCTAACTGAACTTTTCCAGGCAGATGCTTCAGTGATAAAGAGGCAAGGACTGAGGGATGCGAGAAAAGGGGGGTGTAAATCCCAGTTTTCCACAAAATTCAAACTATCTGATGCCTGGAGGAACATTTATGTTCTGTATGTGCCCCTTTCCTTCCGTTAAAAGTTACATTTTACCTGGAAGGGGCATCCATGGAGGAGAGTATTTCCCAGTGCTGATGGGTAGAAGAATATTAGTTTAGACTTGGTATGAACAGTTTTAAAATTTCTCATTCAAAAACTTTGTTTTCTCTGTTAGGTTGATATATCGTGGTAAATCTGTTGTTTAAACACATTGGTTACCAATTTTTTTTAACGTCAGTCATACTTTTTTAACTGGTCTCATTCCATTCATATTATTCCAACATAGGTTCCTCCTCTCACGTTCCTACTTTGGAACTACGTCCTCTTCTCGTGTGACATTCAAACTTGTGCAAAGGGAGTTTCCCTTCTGTAGTAATAACAGGCTGGGAGGCATTGAGGATTAAAAGAACTCAACCACAACTGAGGATCCTTTGGGGTCAGCTCAAGGTTCTGTTTATTTTGTTTTAAATGCCCCATTCAAAGCTGGGAAGCCAACCAGTCCTTTGTCGGCGGTAACAAGAGGCAAGAGTCCACTCATAATAAAAACCCATTTTAGTACAAAGATTCAGACTGGAATTACTTTGTTTGGTCTTGAGCTGATACTCTGATATGATTTAGGAGGTTTTCCATTTTGGAACCACATTAAGTAGTATGGAGCGACACTGGAATGAAAGTACCAGACTTTGCACAGACGATAAAAAGCGCTCCCCCCACCCCCCAACTGTGCGCTACCGATACTGACTTTAGTGTCAGGATTTATTTATTTAAGAGCCTATTTTGCACCTAATGCTGTAAGACAAAGGAGGAATTAAATAGGTCAGAGGCCGGCAACAAATGCCAAGAAGGGATGGTAAGATTTATCTTGGCTTCATCGTACAGTGTGAGTGTCAACAAGAATGGTTGTAACTTCCATTGAGGCCGTGAAATCATCTCACGGGAGTGACAATTTCAGCTTATATCAAGACCCAAATAGAAGAATTAGAAACAGAAAAAAAGGAGTGTCCAGAACACAGCTCTGTGGAACACCCATCAAGAACAAATGATATACATTCTAAATATGACATCTAACCCAAGAGAATGGCAGATGGCCAAATTTGAAAATAGAGATAGTAGAACACTATGAATTACAATGCCCATAGCTACAAATAGATCTGATTATTTAAAATATAGGGCTAAGCTGCATCTGTAGCCACCCTAGAGCTAATATCAGAAATGACAGACGTCATCGAGTATCCACACCCAGCTAGGCTGCTTTGGATCATAGGGGATTGTTCCATCAGAGGAAACCTGACACCACACAAAAGCAGGTAACTCTACATTGGATCAGATTTCAGACCTGGAATTAGCCCAAAGCAAATGAAACATTAATTATTTGTGACTGGTGGTAAATGGGCTTATTATCCATCAGATAGCTCGTGTGCTCCATCGGCTGAATGATTCATCAGAATGGCTCAGCGTAGCCATGAAAATGTTTTCTCTTCAGATTCTTGTTCAGCCCCATTGGTCTTTGTTGTGTTCAGGCTTTTGGTTTTGTGAGTCACACAAACAGTTTAAAGAGCATGAAAACATTTTTCATCTACCCAAAGTGGGCTGGGTGAGATTTTCAAAAGCAAATGTTTGACAGGGCAGTGTTGGAGCATTTAAAGCCTAACTCACATTGTTTCTAATATATTTACCTCCTCGTGTTGTGTTATTCTAAAAAATGAGTCAACTCAAATTCTGTTTGTGCAACTGGGATATTGAAACCACATGCAGATCAAACATCAGAGACATAGACACCAAGTGGGGATAGACACCACTATAAAAACCAGATCACCACCGAATGGGGGAGCCTTTGCGGGCTAAATACTTCTGCATCTTTAAAGAAATCGCAACATAAAAAGAGGTTAGATGTGTACAACGACTTACCGTATACATCAGCTGAGCATGATGAGACATTATCAGGGGAAAAGGCAGTTTGTTGAAAAGGGAGAGAAAAAAATACATTAACTTTTTTACTAACATGTTGATTATTTCTTATACATTTACACGCTTTATAAATATTGATTAAATTTAGTCAATTCAGCTGTTTTCATCAAAACACAACTAAAGAAATAGTGACGGGATGCCAAACCTTTCTTGGCTTTCTTCTGCAGCTTTAGAGTGTCAGAGGATCTTTTCTTGATTTCTTGCCGGGCTTTCTTATACTCTACAACAATACAACACAGAAGCTTGGATAGAGTTTTTTTTTTAATGGTGTATAATCACACACAGAATCTGATCAAATTCACTAAGATGGAAACATATTTGTGTATGTGTGTTTCTGAGCGTATGAAACCTTTGGCATGGTCTTTGTCCAGAGTGTTGGCCACTCTCTTCCACTCCTCCATCTGCTCCTGTAGAGGGTTGATCAGGCAGTCCAGAAAAACCCTGGAACCACAAACGCTCTGTTAAAACTGTCCAACTGAAACAGCAAACAAAACTGAACAAAAGTACAAATGATTTAACATTTAGTTGTAGGTTTGGGGTTAAAGGTTTTCAATGTAATTTATGGATGATATCAGCCTAAAATCAAAGTGCTTCTGGGAGGGCACAGCTTTAGATACAAAGTACATTTATCTGTTCAAGCATTTTTTTTATGTAGTATAGTTTAGCAGCGTAAGTCTAGAGAGTTTACATTAACTGTTTAAAGAATAAATTAGATAAACAAATCAGTTTGTCCAAAGGCTGGATTCAAATGGAGGTAAGTTTCCCTCCAATCTGTAAGAGCTCCTTGGATGCATTTAGCTGGCTCTGCTAGCACTTATCAGGTTCTTTTAACTTTTGTTCACTCTTTAACATGCAGAACTGTCATGAATAGAGCATGTGTGGAAGTATGTGTGGAAAATTAAACTTTGGCTCATCTTAGGGTACCACATGTTTTTGGTGCTGGGTTAGGTTATAGAAAACTAAAAAAAAAACTAAAAAAAACAGCCCGTATTGTCTTTTCCAAAGCTCTTTCCCTGAACCTCATTGGAAAATGACATGATCTAAAGGAAAGCTGGGCAAAGGGGTTCTTAAATTGTGTGGAAAAGGATACAAATGCTGTAATGCAGTCTGAGCAGACTTACATTAAAACCTAGTGTGGTTTAAATACATCTCCTAATCTGTTCTCATGTTGTTTCTTGCAGGCTACATTACATATTATAATAGCATTGTAGGTTGTAGTATTAAATGTTGTTTCGATTCTAAGGGTTTTAATTCGGAAAGGAAAGAAAAAGGCTAAAGAAAAAGGGTGAAACATCACAAAACATGTTTCCCGCCTCCATGTTTAAGTGCACAAATTACAGACAGTAAAACTTGTTTAATATGATCAAATTTTTTCTTTGAACAAAGAAAACTTGTGACTGTATAATCTGCTCTTCTTTCATTTTCTTATCGTGTTTTTTCTTACACTAAGGGAAACAAGAATTACAAGAACTCCAATTTGTATCATGATTGATACTCAGGTACAACCAGATCAATCAGACAGAAAAGGTTCTCAAGCAAAGAAGGAGAGACTAAATTTAACTAGAAAAAAATCTATTTCTTAAATAAATAACACTCCATCGGGTTAACAAAACAAAAAGAAAACAAAAAAACGAACAAAAAAACAAGAAAATTGCATATTTGACATATTTGTTGGACAGTCGAAGAGCTGATATGAAATACTACAGTCCCTGTCAGGAGTGGACAGTGCTATACATCCCATCTGGTGTTGGGAACTCCCCCGGATCCCCGGAGAGAAGATGGAGGATTTCACTGGGATGAAGGTCATCTTGGACACTGCTTTGTCGAAGGTAAAATATATTTGTGTACTGATGTTGATATTACTGAAGCAATTTCACCTCGGTTTGCAGCCTCCATCTCACAGCCATCATGTTTTTGCTCAGCAGCTCAGCTGGAGGTCCCGTCTCCCCATTTCAACCTAACTAACACTCTCTTCCCACACCGGGGGAGTTAATGGCCTCATAAGGAGAAGACGTGGAAAGAGTTGCCAATGACAGTGAGAGGGAAAGGAGAGGAACAACATAAAGCTTTTTGGGGAAGGGGGAATAGGAAAAAGGTCAGCGAAGGGATATCAACACAGGAAGGCGTGAAGTAAAGAGGGAAAAAAATTAACAAAAAGGAGGAAGAAATGAGAAACAAAACTGTGAGTGTGGAGATGGAGGTGAAGCAGGCTGCGACAAAGAGCTGAGAAGAGATGCTACACTTGATTCTGACACAGAGACACACTCACATGGAGAACTGGCGGAGTTTTGCCTCGATGCTGCGATGCCTCATGCACATCCTGGTGAGGGCTGAACCGATGTCCCTGGTCCCTCCTGGTGACAAACACAAACACGATTCCCACAATCTGTTGGTCAAATCGAATGCCACAACAGCAGATAACTGAATATACATTTAGATATACATCTGCACTTCCATATATTTAGAAATTGCAAGAAAATTGTAAAATACATAATGCATGAAAACTACCGTAGAACTTAAGAAGGATTAATGAAAAATAAAACAATTTGGGGCAAATTATCTTGAGGTAAAATACACCAAAAAGCTTATAATGTATTACACATTCAGAAGAGAAAATATCAATGTTCTGATCTGGATTTTTATTAAGAATGATAGATAATTGGTCTATGAATCAGAGACAGAAAATGATCTTTTTCCAGGCAACAGACTTAGTGAATTTGTCACTGTTCTGTGGAGTTCGTCCATCTCACTGGGTTGGGATGCCTGCAATCCCACACTGACTCCATGATATTGAGATCAGGGGCCAGACAATCTGTCACAGAGATCTCCCTTCTTCTTGTCACCAAAGGCAGCGCTTCCTGAATCTGACACTGATCTACCTATCCCTTGCAAAGAAGAGCCCTTGTGACTTTTTTTTATTAAACCACAGAAGTCGGGGGGAATTTAAATCGCTCCGAGCAGGTTTGGTTCTGGATGCCTGTCTGTTTGAGGGTTTTGCTCAAGGACACTCCAGCAGGGTGAAAGTTGACTGTCAGGCTATGGATTCTCAGTGCAGCAGAAGCTCCACAGGCACCTGCAGGGGCCAGATGGTTGTCATCTCTCTCCCTCAGACAGGACACTCCCTCCTGGGGAAAAGTTCGCCCGATCTCAGCCTGTCACCTTGGAGATCCAACAGAAACACTTACAAACAGGCTGCTTATATTCCTACACATGAAACAACCTACACTTTGGCATTAGCTTCATCCTGGGGTGGGGTGATGAGCACTGCAATGCACCACAGGCTCCTCTTTCTCTCCTCTGCTCTTCTCACTTCATCTTTCCCTACATCTTCCTTACATCCACCTTGCCCTGGAAAATACCTCCGTCACATCCAATCTCCCGGTTTCTTCTCCTCAGCCTCCCAAAGCAGAAAATACAAAGAGCTCAAAAAGGACCTAAAAATAAGAACAGGAGCAACATTTTTTTTGATCCAGGTGGTGACCAGCTGTTGAAACTTTAAAATCGCTCGGACTTTGTGCTTTGGCAGTTTCTGACATGCAACACGTTTCACAGTTCCACAGTTCAGTCAGAGGATGATTTTAGTCTACACACCTTTTCTTCCGACATGGTTATGTCAGCGTAATTCGTAAAGTCAAACGTGTATGGGTCCAATTCACTTAGGACCGAATACATGCTAAATCCTATTCTTATTACTTTTGTCCTCACGGCCAGAATTTGTTTGAATGCTGACACGTTAAACTGCTGAACGTTGGCTGTTAGAGATGCAACGCCACACTGAATATCCTGCCATACGAGCGAAGGCCCGAATCCTACTTTTCAGTTTAGTTCCTTCAGTCGGATGTTTCAGGCCTTTGCTGTAGATACGAGAGTTTGTCCACTGGGCTCCGACACTGGTACACTCCATGAGTAATTTGTACGTTTGCGGTCACCGTTTCAGCTCAACACCCCTCAGTCCTCTTCCCTTTCCTCCCCGTCCTGCTTCACACCAACTCGCTCCATTATTCGTCATCTCTTTTCACACATTGGCCACCACTGTCCGCCCAGTACTTCCCACAACCAAAATATCCCTCTTTGTCCTCTTTTTATGCTGCACCCCATCCTCTTTCCTGCCGGCTGTTTTCTCACCCACAGATAAGGTGTTACCTCCTCTCTTCCCACCTTGTCTCCTCTCCTCAAGTTAAATTCCCATCTAGCTGTGCGGTGGCATTGCGTTGTGGATAAAGTGACCATTTCACGGCACCATGGCGGCACTTTGTGGCGGCAGTTTATTCCGCCTTTTTGATTTATTGAACTGCAGAAAAGTGAATGAGAAAGACTTAAAGATGGAGTGAAAGTTGTACAGCAGATGTATTACTGTACAGCTCTCAAACTGCTCAAGACTGTATCCAGAATTTTGTACAACATTATTTTGCTTTCTTGTCACAATTTAAGAAGAATGACAAGAATTGTCTGAATGTATGGGAATAAAAACAGATACATTTTTACCAATACTGTGGACATAAAGAGTCCTGCTATGCCCTAATTCTGACTACTAATTCTGTGACCCCACACGGGGGCCCAAGTCTGGAAGAAATATCGGCTATGAGTAAAAATGCAGAGTGGAGCAAAAAGAAAATGAATGATAACATTGCCAGAAATGTGAGGTTGATATTATATGATCAAGTCCAGCATCGTGGTATTCCACATCATCCAAGAAACTGCCTGGTTCAGTCGTAACACGCACAAAACGCTTTCTTTCGTTGCATTTGTTTCTCTAATGTTTTAAACAGCTCAACTCCTCAAAATCTAAAAGTAGAGGTGACACAAGTAGGGTGAACCTGTGGCCTGCTCTCAGTAAATAACGTCCTGTCAATTGCAGCTGACCGACCCGACCGCAGCGCTGCCACACCAGGCCTGTCTGTCCATGTGCAGCACGCAGAACCAGCTGACCCAATTCAGGGGGACAGAGCAGCGTCTCTGTCTGGCCCGCAGACACAGATCACTCTGATCCGAGCTGCAGCTGCAGGCGGCGCGATCCAGAGGCCCCGCAGCATCTAATCGGCACGCGAGGGCAAAGCTGACCTGTTCAGACTTTCAGAAGAAACCTTGGTCATATCAGGATCGGGCGATGAGCAGTTCAAAGACCAAAAAGGTGCAAAAAAAAGAGACAATTGAGTGCTACAGAGGAGCTATATCAAACTATCTTATAAGTAAACTCAAAACTGACTGGGCTACCACTCCTTTATAAAGCATATTTTGAAAGTTTTCGAGATATTTTATCAGAATATCAAAATTGTTGCATCTGTTGAATTAAGTTAGAGCAATAAGCACTAGGTATTGGGTACATTTTTGTCAGTACTTTCACTAAGGATCCCAGTTTTCCTGGAACTTTGGCAGAGGCACAAATTTCAGCCAATATTCGTTTGACCCAGTTTGCACCGATTTTTTACGCCGGTTAATTCTCAGATCGAGACATCTCGCACATCATAGGGTTTCTGGTGCAGGCGGAAACTTCCTGCGAAGTTTCCTGTGTAGTGACACAATCCAGCAGACCGTGACAGGATGTAGCCTTAATTCAAAATACGTGCCAGTCCCGACCGATTTTTCAGAGACGGCATCCTCGCCGTTGACTGGAGGTCCTGGTGCTGGAGAGCCAACGGGGTGGTGCGTCAGCATAGCGTCGCAGTAACAGTAGGTGACCCGGAATTTAACATAGGAATGTAAACCAGTCTACCTCTCTTTCCAACTGGGATGTGAACTCAGCCATCACATTCCCACAGGAGCTGCTGGTGGAACTGGGCTGAAGAAATGGAGCAGCTGAAGCTGCACACACACTCCACAGCCCAGCAGGACGGGCAGTAAATCACTGTCCCGTACTATCAGGCTATATTTCTTCGCTTGTTGCTATAGGGAGGTTATGGCTGGCGAGCTATTTTTGAGCACTGGAGCATGAGGAGGAAAACGATGACAGGAGGAGCAGAGGACAAAAGGAGGGATGCAATCTTGAAAGCAGGGTGAAGACAGGAGAATAGTCCATTTAGGTTAATATAAACCTAAGAAATTGAATGTCTTAAAAACAAAATCTCAAGTTAGCATGGGGGGAAATAAGCCTTTTTATGTCCTTTGGTTTTTTGCAATTTAATCGTCCTTTTATTGGTGCTAAGTTTATTACACAACGCAAATGACAACTTAATTTAACAAATTAAGTGTATGAGTTTTCTTGTCCTGACTCAAGTAATTTTCTTTGATGTTACAAGTGGCAAAGAAAATAGGAAGACACAAACGACAGCAATAAATACATAAATACAAAGCTCAAAATTGAAATCGTTGGGTAAATCTGGGAGAATAAAAACAAGTTTCTCTAAGGTAAGTATCTAAATAAATTTGACAGCTTTTGGAACAAAATTTCCCCATTGCAAACAACATTATTTGGGGTGTACACCATCTAGTGGTGAAGTTACAAACTGCAAACCTAACTTTCTTAAAAAGAATCCCAAGAGAAACACGCACGTTGCAAAAAAATAATTTCTGGCCCTTATAAATAAACAATAACACTATTAAACAGGACATGGGTTTTTTTGTAACTTCTGTTGGTGTTAACTGGTCAAACGTGAGCCAAATTATTTCTTTGACTCCAACATTGTCTTTAAGATTACCATCAAAGTCTTGTTAGCTAAGTAAGCGTACTGACACCAACAAAAAAGTCCCAGCTAATGCTTTTTAACGTCAGCTGCTGAGGAGTCGGCCCCAGAAACCCGTCAGGTGTCAGCCGTCCATAAACCCGCCGCATAGTGTTGCCTGCTGGTTGCATCAGTCAGCATCTCCCTCTCTCCATATAGCCAAGGTCACTTTAAGACTTCGGTGCGTCTCACGTGTCAACGGGAAGCCAAAGTGTCACTCTGCCGCTGCCGTCAATCTATTTAATGCCCAGGCACGAAATACCGACGTCCAGCCGATTAGCAGCAGACACCGGAGAGGTCACGCTCAACTGGGCTGGAAACGCCCCAAAGGTAAGGGGCTCAAAGTGAAGACTGCCTGTCATGCAAGACTTTAGCCGTTCGTCTGTAGTTCAGCTTTTGGAAAGAACAACGTGCGCCCTCTTTCACTAGGTAAGAGTGTGTGTGGGGCAGAAGAATCTGAAGAAGTCCACACAGGTCATCCTGAGCGATGAGGGTCACTCAGTCCTAGAATACCACACACCAGCCCCGGGAGGGGGAGCGGGCCAAGGATGCCCGAGAGGGAAGGCTGCAGTGTTAGGATGCCTTCGGAAAGTGTGTGTGTGTGTGTGTGTGTGTATATGTGTGGGTGTATATGTGTGGGTGGGAGTTTACAGTAGAGTCTTGGGATTTTTGAAATATTTGCCCTGAGAATATCGCTCCTCTCTGATCACGTCCCGGACTTGGACCTACGGATCAGTTTACTGCCGTTGGAATTTTACTATCATGTATCAGGCATAACGTGCAACCCCGCCTTTCATCATACCAACAGCATCGCCTTATAAATACCGCTCCAAGTCTCCGCAGGAGGCTTTTCTGAATTAACACTCCACACGCTTTCTCATCAGTTTATTTTCCAAGCATGAGTCTTACATTTGGCATCTATTTTTTTTTTTTTTTCCTGCTCATAGGTCTGCTGACCGATAGCTGGACTGCCGGGGACAGCTGTCAATCACCCGCCGGAGGCAGCTGCTGCCCGGTCAGTTGCTCCCCCCCCGACTCAGGCCAGCGCACAACAGAACAGGCCTCCTTCACTCCAGGAAAAACCTGAAGTGCATTTTCGCCTTTAACCACCAGCGTGACCGAATGGTACTTGGGTGAGGGAATAAAACGTGTGATGAAACTCGGTGTTGCACACCGCCAGCTGACTTCTGGAGCAAATAGCCCCGTCGATCAGCTTAAACAAAGGCGTGAAATGAACTGCTCACGCTCACCTGTTGTAACCAGAGCACTTCTGTGTCAACATTTAGGCCCTCGAAGATATTTCAGAACATTTTTAGAGCACAGCACCTTGTAAAAACTACAGGCCACTTACAGCTGTAGGAGGACTACTAACATAAATGAGAAAGGAATGAAAAGGAATTATGAAGCTGGTATGTTGACAATTTCATGTGAATGTAACTTGAAACAGGCACATAACTAAAAACGTACACACACTATATGTGTCAGTCAATCAATGGCTGCTTAGAGGGGATCTCAAATTAATACTAATCTCACCAATACTTTTATTAGTATTTTTTTTAATGAGAAAAGTGTCCAAGACACTCAATAGACTGACTAAACCAGCTCTATCTAAAACTAGCTGGTTATAACCGGCCAAAGTTAGACCAGCCAAAGGCCGGGAAAGTTTCAGTTCAACATATCCAGAAAGTTGGTTGATAATCCTTAAACGTTTTTCCAAGTACAGTATGTCCTGCGAAGGTTCCGATGTGTGAACGTTTGCGCGCACGGCAGCAGATTTACCAGCTCCGGTGGAGCTCTGGCTTGTGGAGATATTTCTGAAGGAGATGAACACTTCAGTTCATTCTTCTCATCCGCCAGCTGAGAAAACAGAGCCATCGAGTCGAGAGCTTGGAGGGCAGCGCTGAAGCAGCCGTCGGCCCTTTCACACAGTTAATCCCCTTCATACAA